CTTGGAGTTCAAAGTCTCTACTTTTTCACTTATTAGCTTATGACCTTGGGCAAATCATTTTCCTTCTTTGGACCACTTTTTCTCATATATAATTTTGTGGCATGACCTAGAGAGTCCTTAGGATTCTAACTTCACTATTCTTGGTTTCTAAGGCTGGCCCTGAGTAACATGTGAGCGTGTGCCCTCACTCTGTTCTCCCCAGGAACTGCATGAATCTATTCACCTGGGCACAGAGAGGTCTGGGGAAAGAGATCCAGATCTGAAGCAGGGAAATGAAAAGGCCCGTTGTACTGTTCTGTATGTTCTTCATTGGTGTTGATTATGGTACTCGCAAGCGTAGTAGTGGCTTCTGTACCTTGAATTGCTAATGATTATAGTCCTGAATTCAAGTGGATTTCAAAATACATGCCATTCTAGATGCTGCTCTCTGTAGTGAATGGTCTGTAGCCTGGTTGCCTGGTGAGTGCATGGAGAGGTAGCGGTGGGACAAAGGGAGAAGCTGCTGCTGGTCAATGACCACAGTGGCCAATGACCATGTTTGGTTCAATCATGGAATCAATCAAAACACGTGTCTGTGTCTAAGACACGGTTTTTACTCAGGAGCGATTAGGCAATTGGAGACCCCCAAAGCAAGAGGGAACTCATTTATCAAGAAGATAAATAAGAATTTGGAATAGATGATGTAGAAGGATAATCTACACTGTAATGAAGCTACACTTGTAGCAATTCATCACGATGCAGGGCAGCTTGTGGTTAAGAGCACAGCATTTTTTAGTGTGTGGTGTTGGCCAAGTTATTTAATCTCTCAAAGCCTCAGTTTCCTCATATCTCAGAGGGATATTGATACTTACCTCATATGGTTGTTCTAAGGAGATGATATAAGGGCTGAGATATGTAACTATTATAGGTAACTATTATCATTATAACTATTAGTATTATTACAAACCTCAGATTCACACTGGACTTCAAGGTTTTGCTACCCCTAATCTAATAAACTATGCAGACTGTAAGAATAAATATGAAAAACCATTAGATGATCTACTAGTAGATCATATACAGAGTAGAGTGCATATACAGAGAAAAAATTTCTTATGAATTTGAATCAGTGCACCATGTCCATTAGTTTTTTACCCTATCATTTTATCCCTGGAATCTTACTTTAAAAAAGTAGCCATCTCCTTTTGCTTTTGATTGATTTCATTCTGTGTATATGAGGTGGGATTATAAATGAAAGACACTAGTTTCCATAAACTTCCCTCGTTAATCCATAGTCCCATTTTTGTCTACTTCTTTTGAAGCTTCTGTCTCCTACCTTTGTGTGGGATAAATGTAAATTTGTTCAACTTATTTGTGACTCTGAATCCTGAAAAATATTTATTTTGTAACATAACTTTAAAAAAATGGTAAAAAAATTAACCAGAATAAAGTGTTCAACAAACAAACAAAAAATCAACCATGAAGAAAGTGAGTGTTAAGATACTGTGACACTACTGATACAAAAATATAGAAACCACTGAAAGCTAGTCTGGTTTGGGTTCAAGTATTTTTGTCTCAATGAGCTTCAACTTTTGCTTGGTCCACTGAAAATTCAGTGAAATTTTGAGATTCTAAATGGTAACAATGTGTGGTAGTGACAGCCTCAGAACAGAGCACCTGGGAGTGGTGGTTTTCTTATGTTTCACTGTTTGAATCTTTCAGAAGAGAAGTGAAATTTTATAATCCAAGTTTCATTTATTTATTTAGTTTTGACCTGCATTTTCATGTGCAATTTCTCCTATGTCAAGTCATATGTTAGCTCAGTTGGATTTGAAAACTTTATAGATAATTTTTCAGGCAGTGTTTTCATAGGAAAGAAATTAGGACTGAAATCTAGGATTCTGGCTGCCTACCACTTACAAATCAGGATATCCTTAATTTAGTTTTTAAAAAAATGTTCCATAATTATTTATTTATTATTGAATTAATGCACTAGTTTTTTTAAGCAGTTTCACTACATTATTTTTAAAAAATTTTAATTGTGGTAAAAAAATAACATAAAATTTGCCATCTTAACCATTTTGAGTGTACAGTTCTGTAGAGTATATTCACATTGTTGTGCAACAAAGTTCCAGAAATTTTTTATCTTGCAACACCGAAACTCTACACCCATTAAACAATAACTCCTCATTTCCTCCTCCCCCAAGTCCCTGCTCAATTCAGTTTTTAAGTGGGATATGTTTATGTTTTGTGATTACATTTTGATGAGGGCAGAGGTCATTTAAGTGAATTGCAAACTGTAGGGTACTGTGTCCTTACTTGAAAGTATGGACAAGTGGCAGGAATGAGTGCTCACAGTTGGCATTAAGTTAAACTGTCAGATACTACTGAATGGCACACCTGAAGTGCTCAAATGGCAGGTATCACTCACCGTTTTGAGTGGTAAGGTTTACAATTAAAATCAAAACCAGAAATGGGATAAGGCAGAAAACCTTGATAATGAAGGAGGATAACTTTTGAAATATGTAAATAATTGAGAGAAGCTGTGAAGTTATTTTCCATTGAGATCTTTAGAAAGGCAAATATTCACTTCAATATTTTGTTTTGGTTGAGGTACTACCTGCATGCCAAGTAATATGTTAACAGGTCCCAAGCTTGCCCCTTTCCTAGACTTTTCAAAGCTGTGCTTAAGGAGTCTGGTGTGGCCACAGTACATGGCAAAATCCAGAAGGAGGGGATGTTGAAATGTGGGTAATGATATCTCAGAGACTTCATTTGCTTGACTGAAAGCATTTAAAAAATACTCAGGGTCCTGGTTGGGAAATGAACATCATGGAAGAGGTTTAAGTTCCTAAGAGAGTGAGGTGCAGTTCTCCTCCACTTATTTAAAAAGTCAAGATGATGAAATGTCATCTTATTGGCTACCTAACATCATCATCTTCATAGCTACTATGTTAATATGATGGGTGAAATGTGTCAAGATAATAATGATGATGATGGTTTTGATGTGATATTGGTGATGAGAACAGCTGTCACCCAAGTTCATGGATGTCCCATCCTTCTATCAGATCTCTTGCCTGATATGTCCAAAGTCTGGAAACTCAATATTTGATGATACTCCTCGAGCCTCCACAGAATTAAATTTATAGACCTCATGACCTAGAGTCAATTAAGACTTGGTTCTAGTGTGTTTCAGGTACATTTTACATTAAACAGGTTTTTATGTGTCAGTCTGGGAACTTAATTATCATTTGTAAATTTGTCTCTTTGCTAAAAATGTATTCTGAGTCCAAAACAAATAAATTAAAATTTTTAAGGAAATGACCCTTTTCAGGTAGGAAATTGTTTCAATTTGTTCTTGTAATTCTATATCAGCATTTAATAAAATATTTTAATTTGGTTTTGGAACAAAAGCTATAGTTTAATTTTAATAATGGAGGAGAACAGTAGGGTAGCTAAAAAATGAACACTATTGCATATATTAAGTTGTGATACATGTTGGTCAAATTAATTACATACAAAGTCATTTATATTTAATTATTTGACTTTGAAATATAAGGAAAGAGTTTTTAAACCTCAATTGAATTTTATAATGATGCTTTTCTTATTTTGCTATTAACATGAATTTTCATGTCTCTGGACTCACATATTTTGCCTACTCTGGGCTTATTCTGAGTGATAGGGAGAGTTAACCTAAAATTAAAAATATGTTTCAAGCAATCTATAAATTAATTGATCCAAGCATAGATAATCAAGTACAGATGGTGTTAATACTACTTAGGTAGTGATGGGCTACAGGAAAATGGGATGGAGAGGAATAAGCAGTTTTAGTGAACTATTTAAGTAAACCTGGGTTGCCAACGTGCTCCTGAAAGTTTTTTTCAAGGTCATTCCTATGGTGAAGTCTATAGAGATAATCCCAGTATTAATTATAACATGTCATCATATGAAGGAAAACCATGCATTATGCCTCTTGCTTCATTCATTGCTTGAATTGATCAGCTGATTTGGCCTCTAGGCCTGGGCTCTTTTCCTTTCTCAAAGCTCCATCTGATTCTCTCTTGGTTGATGGGGACTGCCTTCCTGGTTGGAGTAAGACTGTTTTTAAGAAAAGGGAACATGAGTGGCTGCACTCCTCTTCTAGGACTTACACCAGAGTTAATACGGTGAGCACACTCTGACCAGAACCGTTATCTACAACTTGGGGACATTAAACAATGTGGAAAGGTTCCAGGGAACAGTAGAAATGGCACTAGATTAGAACCCTAGGGACTTTGTGGGTAGGTTTAAGGAAACTGTAATAATTTCAACAATATTTACCAATAATTGAATGTTTTCCATGTGCCAAGTGCTGTATGTATCATCTTGTTTAATCTTCACAAAACATTATAAGGTAAACTTTCTGAGTAATCCCATTTTGACATTAAAAACACAGAGATTTAGAGAAGTTGAGTCACGTTCCTCAAGCTTATGCAGACGGTAAAATAGACCTGGAATTCACCCAAGATTGTCAGACCCCCAACGCAAATATGTCAATTATTCTACTGGTGCTTGCTATGGTGGTGATAGGGATTTGAGGTGTGGTTGCTGTTCTTTGGGTGACCATTTTGCCCAGTTATTGCCAGTTAGATAAATTTGAAGTTCTTTATGGTTCTCTCTTGTTCTGCTGTCTTCCTCTTTTTCACCTCTGGTTATTTTCCTCCCACTTCTCATATCACCCTCAGATCAGAAGTAAAGGCCATGATTCTTGCCCATTCCTTCCCCTCATCACAAAACCTGGATTAGTTAGGACAGAATGGCCAGAGATATGGTGACTAGTCAGTTTCTCTTTGTATGAGCTTTAGCTCAGCTATCAGGATGAATTTAGATTAGGCATACTGAAGGATATCCATGAGTAATAACTATAAGGTTTGTCATAGATAACTGTATTGGGTGTGTTTAAATGTACAACTCTGTTTTTCTATTATTATGTGATATTTCATGTTGACTTGTCAAACTGAAAAATACCCATATTGATTTTGCAGAAAGCTTCACATGTGAGATAAATGCACTCAAAGACTCCTCACAAGTAGCTCTTTGGAGCTTTAGATGTGAAATGGATCGTTCCTCAATCTGTAATAGACCCTTCTGTGAAGCTCTTCAATCAAACCTGAGAATTTAAGGTGAAATTGAGGGGAGGATGGGAAACCCCTACAGGGGGATTTGAGTGAACTAGCTGAGAAAGGAACTTGGGGTATTTGCTGCCTCTTTTTTCAGTTCTGTTCTTGAGCATAGGAAGCCTGTCAATCAATGTGTGACTTTACATGCTGTGTGTGTGATACCTGGGTACTGCAGACAAGCTGTAGAGGGAGTGTCCCATGCACCTTTGATTTCTTTCCATTTGTCAGTTTTTCTGACAACTTTCAGGTTATTTTTAAAATGGCTATTTTATACAGATTTATTATTAGAGTTTCTCTTTCCACCAAATTATTTATATTGTTATATTTGATAGGATGAATTTTTTATCTTTTGAGAAAAGCATAAATAATCTCTTAAAAAAGTTAGTGATGTATGATAACTACCTTAGTTAGAAAGAATTGTCAGGGCTGGCCCCCTGGCTTAGTGGTTAAGTGCGCACGCTCCGCTGCTGGCAGCCCGGGTTCGTGTCCCGGGCGCGCACCGACGCACCGCTTCTCTGGCCATGCTGGGGCCGTGTCCCACATACAGCAACTAGAAGGATGTGCAACTATGACATACAACTATCTACTGGGGCTTTGGGGGAAAAATAAATAAATAAAATTACAAAAAAAAAAAAAAGAAAGAATTGTCATATTTTGTTAAGTAATGATCCTGGTAAGTACATCTTATTTGAGAATCACGTTTATAGATCATGTAATGACTTTTAATTAGTTTGTTCCCAGTAAAGCAATAAGACAGAGTTACCCCTAGTAAGGAAAACAGCATTCTTCTGCAATTAGTTTTTATGTCACATTTTTTATTTATTTGGGGGCACATTTTCAGTTGGACATTTCCAGATTAATTAAAAAAAACTCTAGAATCTTCAATGGGCTGTTTAGTTTGGAGAAGCAGTGAATCTTGACACCAAACTAAGTAATAAAAACTATGCTTTGGAATTTATGCTCAAATATAGAAGATGTTTGATAATAGGGTTTGATACTCAAGCTGCTCTGACATGATTGCTATCCCATAACTGTGCCATAGTTTTCCTAAGCCATAGAGACGGTGTTGTTTGTAAAGCTCGCATATTAGTGTAATCTTAGGAGCATATTAATTGCCGGGAGGTTTATATATTTGTTCTGCGCATATGATTAAAGACCACGGCAGCTTATACAGCATAATTTTAGAGATGGAGAAAATGACTATTGTAATCCTTGCTACTCTCCGTTTCCTCTACAGCAATGCCCTTACACCTTTCTTTCTCAGCGTTTTGTAGCATCCTAAACAGAAGGATATTGAAGGGAGCTGATGCTGCTTTGATCCTGGTGCTTGTTGTCAAAGCGCTTGGGATTGAAGAGACTGTTGGCTACAATTGACTGTGACAATTAGGAGATGATCAGAGCCCTAGAGTGGAGCACTTAAAGGGTAATTTACATGTCAGTTTGTCGAATAAAAAAAAAAGATATTCAGCTAAGATTTTGTTCCCTCAGAGCCTTGTAAACTGCAATTTGTGCTCTGGTAAGAAAAACCTGGCAGAGGAGTTAGGATAGCCATTACCATTTGAAAAGAAGCAATCATAAGGCCGCTGCTGAGCCCTTTGTCCACTAAAAATGCTGATTTGCAGGCAGTGAGTGAAAAAGTGGAACCAACACTAAATAAAACCTTGAGCTAGGTAACTACCTACCCCCTCGTTGGTGGCTTTTTAATATTGGTTAAATGTATTTTTTCAAAAAAGTATCTTAAATCCTACGCTTACTGTCATTATAACATTGTCATTGGTCATGACTGTCCTTTCCTAAAAAAATAATAAAAGGAGGCATTGAGGAAGTGGTAGGTGGAACGCACGCCAACAGTCAATTGAAAGGCTAAAGCTGGCTGTCAGTTGTATCTTATTCTTTTCCCTTTTGTACATCATCACAATTTTCCTCTAGTCATCCTTTGCACTATGCTATTTTCTCCCTACTGTCTCCGTGTGCTCCCAGGTTTTCCCATTTTTATTTATATTCCAATTTTAAAGTGGGAACTGTTTCTAACCTTCACATATTTAACCTATTTGGGTGCACTTGGCCAAAAAGATAATGTAGTTTCAATCCATGATTTGCTATTCATGTGTGGTCATCTCTATACTTTTCTGTTAGGTAATCCATGTATATATGTTAAAAAAAAAAGCTGGAAAGCTAAAAGAGGATAATTGCCAGTAAATATACGGTGATAGCAGTTATATGTCATCCATTTAATTGTCAAATAGAATAAGAAAAATTAGTTTTTTCAAAATTTTTGAGGCTTTTTCATTCCCTGGAAATCAGTGATAATAAGATATAGTCACAAGATTTTCATTTGCATAATTGTTTGAAAAAAGGTTAATGTATCAACACAACCATCCTATCCAGACATATTTAAATTTGATGTATGTATTTAATTCTAGATACATATTAACTTTCAATGGCAGATACATTTTACATTCCCATATTTTGGATACTTGGCTATGGTGAATTTGCAGAGAGGCGGCTGAGGATTAGAAATAAGTTTGTCTTTATCCTAAAACATCAGTCTTTACTGATGAGAGCTAAGAGCACGCATGGCCTTCAAAAGCCGGAGTCTCCAACAGCCCATTGCTGTTCCTGCACATCCTTTACCTGGACATTGTGTGTTAGGTTTTAAGGCCGCCATTCCATTAAAGACATTCACTACCTCCAAATAAGAGGGCTTTATTTCTCTTCATCTGCATCTAATATCTTAACAACAACAATTTTTTTTTTTTTTTCCAAAGGATGCCTTGTGAAAGGAGTTGCATTCTACTTTTGGGGATTTCTGAAAATCACCGTAGTCAATACGGAGACTAGTTGAGAGAAGTCAGTAATTCATAGACAGAGATCGGTGCCTCCTCTGACTGCTTTGCAGAAAGGCCCTCAGCTTTTTAATAAAGTTTTCTAACTCTAGTTTTCCTTTTGTGCATGCCCTCTTGCAAAGAAGAACACACAAGGAAGAAAAAAATAAGAATGAATAAGTGAATATGTTAGTAGGTGCAAAGAAGATAATGAGAGAGGGAGTCAGAGAAGTTCTGGGCTTCCTTACCGTGTGTCTACAGAATGCAGGCGATGGTAAATCTGTATCAGAAATCAGGCACAGCAGGAGGTGTTCGTCTCCCAGGTAATGGGTAAATGATGAGCGGATGAGCCATCCTCATATTGATTTAAGCATTTTGTTCCAGCCAGTCACAATTAACTTTGATTTGTTTTTACTTTCCTCTTATAGGTTTGCATTTAAAACACTCTTGGAGCACTAATTGTATAAAATTCTAGTAACTGCACAATCTCTTTTTAGAGAGGTAAGGAGTGAAAGAATGAAAAGGCAGGGATTATTTGCCATTCTAAGCAGGGATTGTCAGAAGATTTCTACTTGACTGAAATTGTTTTGGAAGGTGAGCTGGAACAAGAATCTTGCAACTGAAATGAAGTGACTCCGCATGTCGTTTTTGGATGTTTCTCTTCATCAAAGAATTCTGCAGAACTGTTCTGGGACTTACAAGTTGATTTAAATTTTATTTGTAAGAGAATATTTAGGTGAATCATATGAAAACACTTTAAAGTATGCGGATTTGACTCTTAACAAGTATATGGGAGTCTTTTGAAAGCTCATTTGGAGTTATTTGAAATGAGTTTTCCTATTACCATCACAGTGTTTTTTCAATATATAAGTTGCCATGTTGTGAGAAAATAAATAATTGAAATGCTTTGAAAAGTTTTTAGAAATATGTCCAAGGAAACAATATGTAAATTGTTAGAATTAATTCACACGTCAATTTACTGAAATGTTGCTGCTACTGAAAAGTCCTAGAACATTTAGCACAACATTCCAGAACATATACTCTCTTGGTTTTTTAAAATTTTTTCCTCCCCAAAGCCCCAGTACATAGTTGTATGTTCTAGTTGTAGGTCCTTCTAGTTCTTTTATGTGAGCCGCCACCAAAACATGGCTACTGACAGACAAGTGGTGTGATTCTGTGCCTGGGAACCAAACCTGGGCTGCTGAAATGGAGTGCGCTGAACTCTAACCACTGGGCCATCAGGGCTGGCTCTACTGTCTTGTTTTAATGAGCAGCTCTTTCTTTGTGCTTGCTTGGAGGTGGCACTAGAGTTGCCAGATTTAGCCAATAAAAATAAAGAATTCCTAGTTAAATTTGAATTTCTGATAAATAATGAATAATTTTTTAGTATAAGTATATCCTATGCAATGTTTGCATTTTATCTGGCCACCATAGGCGGCACTCTGATTGGATAGACATTGCAACTGTGCATTGAATGACAATTTAATTATTTATAAATTATAATTTGTCATTTATAAATCATTTTACTTTTCACTGTCAAATTTAGACAGGCCAATGAGCTTGCTCCCTTCAAATAGAAACCGAAAGGTTTTTTAACTCATTAATGCTGGTCCATCATGTTCCCAGGGCAAGCTGTGACTTGTCGTTTCAAGTATATAGTAACTTCTGCCTGACTAATATAATGGAGACTTCAGAGAAGTTGGCCGAGGAGTCTGGCTTACCTACATGGATCAGGCTCTGACTGGAGTGTCTGGTGGTTACAGAGATAGAGAACTGAATGATGCTATGAGTATATATTATCTTTGTGAAGCCTTTCCTTTTGTGGCAGTATTGTGACTGCATAGGTAGCCAAGTTCAAAATCCTTGCAATTCCCATCCTGGTAGGATCTTCTGGGAAGGGAAAGATTTTATGTCCTGTATTTTTATTTTATTTCATTTAACTTTGTTCACCATTATCTAGTTGCCATGAAAGAAGCTAATCTAAAACTTACAGAAAACAGCTATCTGATTTATCTTTGGGGCCAGCATTCATTTTTGCCAGTACCATTTCTGTCACAGTCAGTTTGGGTTGCTATAACGAAGTACCATAGACTGTTTATAAACAACAGAAATTTATTTCTCACGGTTCTGGAGGCTGAAAGTCGGAGATCAGAGTGCTAGCATGGTCAGGTTCTGGTGAGAGCCCTCTTCCAGGTTTGCAGATGGCTGTCTTCTTCCCACGTCCTCACGTGGTGGAGAGAGGAGAACTTTGGTCTCTTCAGTCCCTCATAAGGGCACTAATCCCATTCATGAGCACTCCACCCTCGTGACCTATCACCTTCCAAAGGCCCCACCTCCTAATACCATCACACTGGGGTTAGGATTTCAACATATGTATTTTGGGGTGACACATTCAGTCCATAACAATTTCTTATTGTCTTGATGCTTTTCATGGTCTGCCAGAAGGACTCTTTGTGGCAGAAAAGTTTGGAGCCCTGTTTCCTGTCTCCTAAGCCCCCTTCTAATTTCAGCCATAGCTTCGGTGGACAGCTTCTCACAAACCCAGGCATCCAGAACATTTTTTGAGTCTTCCCAATTTATGCCTTGGAGCCTTCTCCAGAACCACAGAAGCCTGCTCAAGGCTTCCTCAAGCTTAGCATGGAAATATGGGGGGAGTTAACACCCTCAAGGGCAGCCCTCAGCTGATGGGAGATAGGAGCCTGTAGATAAATGTTCCAGCACCTATTTTTTAGACAGATGGTTCTGAGAGGCACTCAGCATGCTTCCCAGAGGTCCCATCTTCAACAGCAGGTACCATCTTCTGTGCCCTTATGTTATGTTATTTGGCTTTTCTCCCAACCTCACCTCATTCTCTCCATTTCCTCAGCTTATTTCTAGGGATAACCAAGATGCATCCAATTCCTTGTCTCAGGCCCTGCTTTCAGGGGAACCCCAGCTAAGACACTCCTGATGCTCCTTTCCTCCCAGCACCACAGCTCACTCCTTGCTCTAGGTCTAGATATTTTCCTTCCTGTGGTTCCATCAAAGTTTAATTTTCTTATTAGCAGAGGAAAGAGTTCTGCCACTGTATCTACTACTAAAACTGAGTCACGTTGGTTACTAAGCACATCATGCACATACATGTCACCTGAACTCTCCTTTACAACAAAAACCACTTTTATCGAACATCCACTATACGTGAGGGCATATGCTAAGGGACCTAGAAGTATTGTTTCGTTTAGTCCTCAGCATGTCACCAAGAATGAATCAGTATTTCTATTTTACAGATGAAGAAACTGAGGCTCAGAAAGATTAAGGGATTTCTTTCAAGACCACAAAGCTAGTAAGTGGTAGAATAAGCATTGAGTTCTGATCTAACTCCAAAGCCCATTCTTTTAACCATTACACTATAGAGCCTACCATATAGGCTCTTAGAAATTAAAATTTCTTATTAAATACTAGTATGAATGGCTGAAGAGATAACTGAGTAGGAAGTAGGGACAAGAAAGTTGGTTTATATCAAACAAGGCAAATATTTTTTTAAAAAGTGTTTGCTCTTTTGCAAAGACTTGTGGCACCAGCAAGATGGGCAAGTGTCACAGTCTTCATACTGCCAGGAAGCTCTGTAGCCACCAATGAGATCAGAAGTGCAGTGATAAACAGTACAAGAAAGCCCATTTGGCCACAGCCCTAAAGGCCAACCCTTTTGGAGGTGCTTCCCATGCAAACGGAATTGTACTGGAAAAAGTAGGGGTTGAAGCCAAACAGCCAAATTCTGTCATCAGAAAGTGTGTTAGGGTCCAGAGGCTCAAGAATGGCAAAACAAAACAAAAAAAATCACAGCCTTCGTACCCAATGATGGTTGCTTGAATTTTATGGAGAAAAATGAAGTTCCGGTTGCTAGATTTGGTTGCAAAGGTCATGCTATTGGTGACATTCCTGAAGTCTTCCTTTAGGTTGTCAAAGTAGCCAAAGTCTCTCTTTTGGCATTATATGAAGGCAAGAAGGAAAGACCAAGATCATATGTTTTATGGTGAAAACACAGTAGTAATACATTTTCATATGCCAAAAAAAAAAAAAAAAAAAAACCAAAAACCAAACAGCTTCCTATGTTAACTTATAATTGAACAAAAACTTTGAAGTATTGGTTCCATCGTGAGACTTGGAGCTCCACAAATCTATATCTTTTGGTTCACAGTGCGTTACACATGGCAGGACCTGATAAATATGCATTGAATGAATTAATTGGAGTATTGTAGAATATGGTTTGAATTGACTTCAATAAGCTCAAATTTTTAGTGATCTACTTTACTAAACAATTGACTTTAACATCTTTTAAGATGATTTGTTACTTGAAAAAAGTTAAAATTCTAATAGTGCCATATAACTTAAGACGAAGCGTTTAGAACAATGTAATAACACAGTTCTCAATGAAATGTGGTGACTTCAGTTAATTTAAGACTATTGGAGACAAAGCGGAGTGGAAAGATTCCCTCTGATGTTACAACAGGCACATAATTAGAGAGGTCTGGGAGTGCCAGAGTGCAAAGTCAAATGTAGTAAACAGGAACTTCTGTGGAGCCAGGGGGAGGCTAGCGAGAAAAGCCACAAGAAGATCTATTCTCCACTTGGAAAAGGCTGGAAAAGTTAGTAGCCCTTCTTTACAACTTAGCTTGGGGAAAATGGGGACCCATGGCAGTTCTTCTCTGTCTAACTCTCCCTATCTTGACAAAATTAATGTATTTCATAAATATTAGAATTTTGAACTCCTTAAGAACTGACTATGTTTTAGGATCAATTCTACAAACCTATCATCTTTATCTTATTGCATTTCTTGATGTAGAGATAGAGGTTCACCCATGCAAATCTTCCCTGACTTTTCATTGATAGAACTTCAAATTTTCTTCAAATTGCCATGCAGTTAGGGATCCAACTATATGACAGTTTCTAAAATCTTCATGAGGTTGTTAGTTTCGAACAATAAGAAAGATGAGCGTACGCCATTTCTATTTGTGCTTGCTGGTTATCGTTGATTTCTTGTGGTAACTATAGTAACTGGTAGCCACTCAAGAGTGAAAGCAGAAACTACCAAAGTCCTAGTGCCATCATCACTGGCAGAATTAGCTACGCCAATGAAAAATAACAACATCAGAGGTAGGCCGGCCCCGTGGCTTAGTGGTTAAGTGCGAGGGCTCCGCTACTGGCGGCCTGGGTTCAGATCCCGGGCGCGCACCTACGCACTGCTTCTGAGGCCGCGTCCCACATACAGCAACTAGAAGGATATGCAGCTATGACATACAACTATCTACTGGGGCTTTGGGGGAAAAATAAATAAATAAAAATTAAAAAAAAAAAAACATCAGAGGTAACTTGATCCTTCCATGATCAGCAATGGGAGGTATGTAGCAAGCAAAAGTAGGTTTTGTCAATGGGATTGCAAGACTATAAAAGAGAAGTCTAATGTTCTGCCATTCAACACTTGGGTGGGAATACTTTCAGACAGATTCAATAGAAACTAGAGCAACCTCAACGTGTGTAAATGTCTAGAAGTCTACTCAAAGAATATTTTTTAAATTCTTTGTACATGAGAACCAAACTTCTTCTTGCCTACAGAT